CCTCCAGGGAATAATCAGAATCTCTCCCGGCCAGGATGGCTACAAAGGTTCAGTTAGATGCCACTTACTGAGTGGCATTTATGTGCTAGGCACTCTTTCATACCTTATGCGTATAATCTTCATAACAACCCTTTGTCATAGGTTATTAGGAAACGGAGTCTGAGGGGTTAAATAATTTAACTCACACCAGCTTTTTTACTGTAGATACCATTCAGTATAGATGGTCTTCCTCCAGGAAGCCTTCCCTGAATGCACCCCCCTAAGCTGACTTTGCCATTGCTTCTCTGTTCCCAACCATTAATCCTTAACATCTGGCATGGTCCCTATCACATTGCTTTGTAACCAATGGTTCCTATGATGGTCTCCTTGGCTGCACTGTCATCTCCTTACAACTGGGGGCCTATAATTCTGTCTCCCTCAACTACTAAACGGGGCTGTCTTCCAAAACTGTCCACACACACGGTTATTTGCAGGAGAACTGCAGGGAGAAGAGCCAACGTATTTCCAATGTATGTGACCTGGGGGCAAGCTGCTGACCCACTCGGTGCACTGGGAGGGCCACACCCTGAGAAGCTCCGATTCTTGCCAGGAGGTGCGGTGTCCAGGGTGTGTCAGGGAACCCATCGGTCTTTGTCTCCACAGGACGCTGTGTCCGCTCTGCTGGAACAGACAGCGGTGGAGCTGGAGAAGAGGCAGGAGGGAAGGAGCAGCACCCAGGACCTGGGAGACAGCTGGTAAGCAGGGGTGCCCTTGGGCCTCGGGAACTGATCTGGCTCGGACGTGGGCCCAGGGATGAGCTCCCTGAAGGCGGGTGCCACCAGGAGAGTGTCCCCCGGGAAGACTCAGAACCTGCTTCCTCACGGGCTCTGTCCAGGCAGCCAGGCAGTACGTAGTCCGGTACAGCGGTTCCCAAACCCCCGTCCCGATTTGTCGTTTGTGTTCGATGAAGCACTCACGCTGGTTCACATCTCATGTCATTAGTTTGTCTGGAAGCGCTTACATTTACTTTGGTTTAAAATTTTTTAAGCTGGATACCACTGTCAGTGGAAAAGAAGTATAACGTGCCATAATTTGGAGGTTTTTTCAGTAAGGAATTGCATTTGACTACGAGGAACAGAGCAGAAATAAGAGTCTTAAACAGATAGTTTATTTCTTCATTATGGGAGAAGGCAATCCAAGGCTCATCTGTTAGCTGCAAGGTGCTACTGGGAACCCAGGCACCTTCTCTCATTCTGCTCCACTGTCCTCATGGTGGGCCCTCCATCATCGAGGCTGTTTTATAGCCCAAAGTGGCTGCTGAGTCACCAGCCATCAGGCAGGCATCAGGAAAGAGGACGAAAGAGTGCCCTTGTGCCTCTTAACCGGGGAGCATTCCTGAAAGCACTTATGAGCCAGTTGGCCTATCTAACTGCAAGGGAAGCTAGGAATCAAGGTCTGTTCACTTGGGTTCAAAAATCAGGGTTCTGTTACTAAGGCAGAAAGTGGGAATGGACACTGAGGAGGCCAAGCCTGCCTCAGAAAGTGACCGTGGAAAATTAAATGTAATGAAAATAAAACAAGGGCATTGAAGTGTAGCTATATGAATTGCTGGCTACGGTTTTAAGCCGGAAGTCTCCCTTCCCCTTGTTAGAAAGGAAGCTTGGTCAGTGTTTCAGCTAGTGGTGGAGACCCTCCGTGATGTAATCTGACAGAGAGCGAAGCGGAGACAGCTTTCTCATTGTGCAGTTCGGGGCCCTTTAGTCCCTTGTAACCAGACAGAAAGGTCTCTTACACCTTAAGAAACAGTGATGTAGGCAAGGGCTCACTCTTAGCTTCATCGTTTTTTTGTGTAACCTTGGGCAAAGCATTTTTACCTTTTTTTAAAATTCTTATCTGAGGATATGTTGAGAGAGAGAGAGAGGGAGAGAAACATTGATCAGTTGCCTTCTGTACGCACCCCGACTGGGGATCGAACTTGCCACCTGGGCATGTGCCCTGAGCCACCGGGCCAGGGCAGCATTTTTAACTTTTTAAAAAATATATATATTTATTGATTTCAGAGAGGAAGGAAGAGGGAGAGAGAAATAGAAACATCCATGATGGAAGAGAATCATGGATCGGCTGCCTCCTGCAAGTCCCCCACTAGGGATCGAGCCCACAACCCGGGCATGTGCCCTTGGCTGGGATCGAACCTGGGACCTTTCAGTTCGCAGGCGGACGCTATATCCACTGAGCCAGACCGGCTAGGGCACATTTTTAACTTTTTATTGCAGGATAACATACATACAGAAAAGTTCACCTAAGCGTCCAGTACAGCTCAGTGAGTTTTCAGAAAGGCAGACGCTATATCCACTGAGCCAGACCGGCTAGGGCACATTTTTAACTTTTTATTGCAGGATAACATACATACAGAAAAGTTCACCTAAGCGTCCAGTACAGCTCAGTGAGTTTTCAGAAACCAAACTCCCTGTGGGATCAGCATCCAAATCAGGAAGCTGGACGGGCATTCATTACCAGCTCCAGGGCAGCCCACACCACGCTTCCTCCCGTCACTGCCTCCACCTCAGGGCAGCCACTCTCAGGCAAGCCATCCTAACCTCTCTGACAGCATCCACTGAAAAATGGGGACATGACACCGATGACAGAGGGTCGTGGAAAGGCCGGAAGGGAAAGCCACTAATGAAGATAAAAGGGCTCATGGTAGACACTCAGCAGAGGGCAGGAATTACGGTTAGGCAAACGACAAGCATCACTGCGAACCCCCAGCCCGAAAGAGAGAAGGCAGATTCCATCCTGGACATGAACACAGCCTATAAGTCTTGCCTCTTGGGAGGCAGCCTCGTTGGGCTTCTGTGCACTGAACTCAGACCAATAGGGATCAGGAGGCTCGCTCAGATGACTTCCTGTGCGATCCTAGGTATTGGGGGAGGCGGGGGGTGCTGAGCATAACTACATTTTAAAAGCTCCCTGGGTGATTCTGATGAGCAGCCTCCATTTCTCATCTGCAAAATACAGATTTAAAACATAGCCATGCCTACAGTGGATACAGCGTCGGCTTGCAGACTGAAGGGTCCTGGGTTCGATTCTGGTCAAAGGCACATGCCCAGGTTGCGGGCTCAATCCCCAGTAGGGGGCGTGCAGGAGGCAGCCGATCGGCGATTCTCTCTCATCACTGATGTTTCAGTCTCTCTCTCCCTCTCCTTCCTCTCTGAAATCAATAAAAATATATTTAAAAAATTAATAAATAAAACATAGCGATTATGCATGATAAACATAACACACAGGAGGCCCTCAGTACCTCTTCTGTATGTCTCTGTTATGCCCCAAATTATACATTTGATCTCAGAAGGAGTCTTTGCTTACTCTCTGTTACTCCAGGGCTCACGCATGTTTTCTGGGAAGGGCAGATAGTAAGTGTCTGCTTTGTGGGCCATGAAGAACCTGCTGGGTCTGTTCAACTCGACCGTTTTACTGTGAAAGCAGCCAGAGAGGGCACGCACGGCAGCCTCCGTGTCCCTGCCGCCGAAACTTTGATTGTGGACGCTGACATTGAACGTCACAGCATTTGCACATCATGAAATAGCACCCCTTTGATTTTTTCTTTCTAGCCGTTTAAAAACATGAAAACCATTCATAGCTTGGACTGTCCCGAACAGGCTGGATTGGGCCCTCAGTCTGACCCCTCTCGTAGTCTCCTTTACTTGTCCTGCAGTAACGAAGGGTATGGCAAGGTTCCTGAATTTTTTTATTATTCATTTGTTTGTTTTAGGGTTCTCTCTAAATTGTCCCAATTCCTCTCTCATTCCCCTCTGTCTCCCTCCTTCCCAGTGCCTTCTCCTCTCTCTGTCTCCCCCCACCTCCCTGTCTCCGTTCTTTTCCCCTCCCTCTCCTTCCCTCTCTCCCTCTCTCTAGCATGCTGCTGGGCTGGGCTGGGCTGCACACAGGCAGAAGTCTGATGCCGGAAATAGGCCTAGGACCTGTCTTCCAAAACCCTGGCGCGAGATCACTGGTTTTCCCCAAATTCCAAGCCTGCATTGAGGCTTTTCACGCCATTGCCTAGCAACCGCCTTCTGTTCTTTCTCCCTTTGTGGCCCCCTCTCTCCCCACCCCTGGCCATTCAGACTTCCCTAGACACTGACTTACAAAGAGGGCTGCGAATCCCAGAGCTGCCCTATGGCGAAAACCCGTCTGCAGCCCCCTCCTCCGGCTGCAGGCTTCTTTGGGTCCTGGAATGTTAACTAGCCTGGCTGGGCCCCGCTCCGCTCTGGCGTCACGTGTGGAGGCCTCCGAGAGACCAGCCCTCTGTTCTCATTTCCATTCCCTCCTCCCGCACCCAAGGCTCAGGGTGCCATTGCCACACCCACCTCTTTTTTGGGGGGAGGCGGGGTGTTAGGTTTCTTTAGTGCACATAGTCAGAAGACTGGATGTGTGTGTGTGTGTGTGTGTGTGTGTGTGTGTGTGTGTGTGTTTTAGATTCAAAAGCAAAACAAAACTCTGAAAGTATTAAACAATATAGGATCATACAATCACAAACAACGCCGGAGTGAAAATCTTTATGTTGACCTCCCTGGGAACGTGTGCGTATTTGTCTAGGGCAGAAGCTGAGAAGTGGCCTTGCAGAATAGCTCTCGGATAGGATTGTACTAGTCAGTGCTCCCACCAGCAGTGCTTATGAGTTCCCCTAAACCGACACGCTCTCTGCCATCAGTATAATCCGACGGCAGTACCAAATCGAGGATATTTTAGCAGAGACTAAGTTGACTTCAGAGTGTAAATTGCCCGCTCTCATTCACCCCCTACAGGGATTAGCCTGTTTCCCCTACCTTCACCAGCCCAGGGGATTACCAGATATTTCTTTTTTTCTTTTTTCTTTTTGAACTCCAAAGGATGAAAAGATGCCTGTTTTAATTCTTTTTTTCTCCTTCCAGTTGAGGGTGGTTGTGGTTTTTTTTTTCCTTTCTGGAAATATTTAGATCAGGCTCACAGTCAAAAAGAGATTTCCCTCGTGGTTGAGCACTTAGTGGACTTGGGTGGAAAACCAGGCTCCCCACTTAGCAGCCCGTGACCCTGGACCAGGGCTCTCAACTCTCCGGTCCTCAGCTTTTCAGTCCATAAAACAGAGACAGTCATCGCCGGCTGCACTGTCGAAGGGCCTTAGCGTAGCACCTGGAGCTTATTAGGCCCTCGGTAAGTGGTGGTTAATGTGGCGTCTGTGGAATTCTTGGGGAGGTGCCCCTGGCGTGTTCTCATGTATAATGGCTCTTTTATAAGGAGACAGACAGGCTGCGGGTGTGAAGGAGGGAGAGCAAAGTCCCCCTCTAAGTGCAGAGGAGGTTTTCATCGTGGGGCTGGGGGTGGAGATCCAGGGTCTATTCTCCGCACGGGAAAGTCCCGAGGGAGCGTTTATGTTTATCCGCAGTCTCCCGGAGCCGGCTAACTAGATGTCAGGATTTCTGCTTTTGGCTGGAATTCCTCCTGCTCAGTGTGGTAACGCTGTCTCATGCTGATCACAAGCCTGGCGGTTATGTATGTCTTTGAGAAGGAAAGATGGGAATCAAAATAAATTACTAATTAACAAATGCAGTCTATTTGTCACAGCAACTCCTTCCAACCGTGGAGCCCCTGGGGAAAGGATAATTTTGAAGAGCATCAACCAAAAGGAAAGTCTCTTCAACAAATGATGCTGGAACAATTAAGTATCCATATAGCAAACAGAAACTTTGAGCATGATGCACAAAAATTAAATCTGAAATGGATCATGGGGCTGAGCATCAAATCTGAAATTATAAAACTCCTCAAAGAAAATGGAGGAGAAATTTTCTTTTGCAACTTTAGGGTAGGCAGAGATTTCTTAGATGGGACATAAAAAGCACAAACTATTAAGAAATTGGTAAATCCGACTTTGTCACCATCAACATCTTCTGTTCTTTGGAAGGTACCCTTTTTGAAGATTAAAAAGTGAAGCAGGCCCTAACCGGTTTGGCTCAGTGGATAGAGCGTCGGCCTGCGGACTGAAGGGTCCCAGGTTCGATTCCGGTCAAGGGCATGTACCTTGGTTGTGGGCACATCTCCAGTGGGGAGTGTGTAGGAGGCAGCTGATCGATGTTTCTCTCTTATCGATGTTTCTAGCTCTCTATCCCTCTCCCTTCCTCTCTGTAAAAAATTAATAAAATATATTTTTTTTAAAAAAGTGAAGCAGCCGACTTGGAGAAAATATTTGCAGAGGATTAATACTATCCAGAATATAGAATGAATTCTTCCCACTCAATAATGACAAGACAACCCAGCTTTTCAATGGGCTAATGGTTCTAACAGACGCTTTGCGAAAGGAAAATATATGGGTGGTCAATAAATGCATGAAAAGATTCTCTATGGGAAAGTGCTGATTAACAACCACAGCGAGCTGTGGGTACACACCCAGGAGAATGACTAAATTTAAAGGCTGACGATACCAAGGCTAGACGGGGAACTGGAATCCTCGTAACCTTGCTGGTGGGAATGTCAAGTGGCATAACCACATTGGAAAACCAGTTTGTCAGTTTCTTAAAAGGATAAACTCATACTTCCTGTGTGGCCCAGCAGTTCCACTCTCAGGTATATAGCTGTTTTGGTCTGAATTGTGTCCCTTCCAAAATTCATATATTGAAGCCCTGATCCCAGGACCTCAGACTGTGACTGTCTTTGGAGATGGGCCCATTAGAAGATGATGAAGTTAACATGAGGTTGTTAGAGTTATGGTGGGCCCCAATCCAGTATGATCGGTGTCTTTGTAAGAAGAGGGCATTTGGCCGAGGCCGGTTTGCCTCAGTGGATAGAGCATCGGCCTGCGGACTGAAGGGTCCCGGGTTCGATTCCGGTCAGGGGCATGTGCCTGGGTTGTGGGCACATCCCCGGCAGATGTGCAGGAGGCAGCTG